CCCTCTAAGAACTTGACGTTTTAGGATGTTTTAAGCTGTACAGGGCTCCTCATTTTGTCATGGTGGACGTTTGAATTTCCAAGTTTAGGCCAGGGGGGATCCAGACCTTGAGCTAAGGGGGGTGGGGGCATTTTGTTTTGTTTTGTTTTTTAATTTTGCTTGCCCTGCCGGCTTTTCTTCCTTATGCGATTTTTTTTACCCAAAATAAGGGGGGGGGCGGGACCCCTCCCCTAGATCCGCCACTGTATGCGTTGTTTGATATTAAAATGGCGGCCCGAGAAGGATCTCGCGTAGGTCAAAAGAGGGGTTGTCGGCGTTTTCGTTAACTGAACAGTTCTTGCACTAGAAGAATTATTATTTTCTATGTGTAGAAACTCTGGAGTAACAATTTGTAGTTTTAACGGCAAAACTAGATGGCACTAACATGGCGTCTCCACACAAAGCTCTATAAATTTGGGTGAAACACTTTTCTGAATAACGCGCGAGTGAAAAACCGCACAGACCAAAATCTTGGAAAGGTTTTTTATATATCAGTCATCTATCATATTATCATATACCAGATTCTTGACTCTATTTATTGAATGGTTACGATTTTTTTTGCCGACGTAACAGTGTAAACCAGCAATAGCCTCTTTCTCCCAAACTAACCGAAGTAGCGCTGGAGCAGAAACTGAGTGATCGTCCGTCTGCTGGTTATTGCCTAGGCGCTCATTCGTGTGTCTCAGTTTTTATCACGTGTTAATCCATGTGCATTTTGTAGAAGACATTCATGCATATGTCTGAAGAATAAAGGCAAGTAGCAAACAGCGAGCTCTTATATAAGATTGCGGAGAAAGACAAAATTTAATTCGCCATTTTTCAGCCGTTATAACCGACGTACTTTCGATGACTCAAAGTACTGGTGATGGCCGCGTGCGCCAATTAAGCTGCCTCGCTTTTAACGAACGGAAGACTTCAAACTCAACACTAACGGCATCTAGAGAAGTTCGTTACTAAGAAATGGCCTCCCTCTTCACCACTGAGAGCTTCTGATGACTTGGGAGTAGCTCAAGTTTGAATTACTAAGCCGTTTTCTCGAGCTCGTTCACACGGGAAACCCAAGCCAGCTAGCGTTTTTAAACTAGATCTGGATGGACTTTTAAAACACATCAAAGCAGCAATTCTGTTTTCAAATCAGTGGTTTGGGGTCGTTTCAGGAGCTTTGCAGGGGTTTATGGCCTGTGTGTATTAAATAAACATTATACAAATATTTCCAATATTAAAATTTGCGTGACGTGAATCATGTATCTTTGCGCCACAAAAATCGTTCCTTGGAGCCTATAAAATTCCTAAGGTTGTCTGCCGAGTTATTTACCCTAATTTTTTATTAGAAACGTTAATAGTTTTCACCTCCGTTATGAAAAATGATAAAATCGCTTAATTCTA